GATAGTTAGTCACGTGACACACGTGAACTGCGTGATACCCCGGTGGGCGTGTCGCGGTATGCCGCAAAATACCTCACCCATTTTGAATGGCTGCATCTGTATTTAAATGGGAAGAAATCCAAAACACTTTGACTAAATATTACAGAAAATTAATCCACAACCTCATTCAGAAAGTGAAGAACATATTGATGCTTTTTTTGGAATCACTTTGATTACCATTTCTTACTGAAGAACAAAATAATTAAAACATTAAAAGCAATGATAAGACCGGAATAATTGAACTGTGCAATTATGAGGCTCAGAGCTAATAAATCACCTGACACTGATAGTTTTAATTCAGAATGGTATAAAATGTACTGAACTGGGTTAATATTATATCTCCTTTCAGCTTGCAACTCAACGTTAATTGACAGAAAAATGTCTCTATCATGGAGAGAAGCTATCATCTCAGTTATCCCTAAGGAGGGAAAAGACTGGATTGATGATCATTCAGACTAGTCCCAATCCTTAATGTGGAATATAAAATATATGCAACCATTCTGGCTAAAAGATTTGAGTAACAGGATTCATCTACATAGGCAGCCATTCAAAATACGCGGTACAAACCCGTACAGCAAGAAATTACCCATAAGTCATTGCATTGTACTACGGTACGTGATTGGCTGGCCAAAATGACTAACAGGGGCATTCGTGGTGTATTGGTCATTAGTGAAAAGATTTAATCATTTAATCTTTTTACTGTGCATGGTTAAATCCGCTTAGTATTGAATATTTATATGGAATTTTACAACTAAACTGAAATTTTTGTAGCTGCGCATAAAAAGAAGAGGAGCATAACGCATCTGATGGTCATAAACTATATCAATTTAGGAACATAAACATATTATGTAAACTGTATATGGCTGGTATTGGTATTTTAAAGAAAATATACACACCAGTATTCCACTTTCTTTCTAAACATTTTAAGCATCAAAGTTTTACATGTGGTTATTGGAAACGTTTTTACATGCTCCTTCTGACTATATTAAGTTTATATACTTTGTAAAAAGTTATAATGTTTCACCTTTTCGGCAAATACGCTTGTTATCAGAGTAAACAAAACCATACTTTTAGAATTTCATTAAAAGGGAATATAATATGTAATCACGTATCTAAAGAAATTAATAACAATATAATTATATTCATATACTGTAGCTCAAATAGTAGTATAATACCGTTTCTATGGATATGTGTGCTTAAGTTTCACTCCTTTTCACGTGATGTCTGTGGTGTGATGGCTTAAGCGTGTACCTTGTGTGCCAGGCGTCATAGGATCAAACTCAGCTCTTTTAACAAATAAACCTTTCTTTGAAAAACTAGAATAGCAAATATTATGGACACTACAGATGCAGCCATTCAAAATGCGCGGGAGATACCGCATTATTTTCCGGTACGCTGTATGCAGTCTACCGCAAGTTACCGGTAGTTACCGGTAAATACCGCTAGTTACCATAAATTCTCCTATAATACGACAAGCAAAATAATAGTATCCGGAATTTCCGCAAGGTGGAGCTAATAAAGCTCAACCTCTCATGTTTGAGC